ACACGGCACGGCCAGGCAGTGCGCGCGGTCGCTACGTTCATAGGGTGTACACGTTGGGCCGAGTACACGGCCCCTCCCTGAACGTGCGCTTTAACGGTCAAGACACCGATAACCAACGCTCTACATTTTTTGAAAAGAAAATAACATCAAACACCAAGTTAACGTTGCCCTTCATCATCGCAGTTTTTTAAAAAGCTTGAGGGATTGTTTTTGTGTCGTCGGGGTTAAAAGTCAAGCTTCCGGATTCGCGGATTGAAATGCCGTTAACTAGAGTTCTGAATAGCTTCTAAGGATGACCCAGGATCAAACACCAAGCCAAAACCTAATCCCAGCCGACTGCTAGACATCGAAAAAGGTCCCGCCACCCCCAAGCATCGCCCGTGGAATGATTGGTTCATCGTTCCCCAGGGCAACATCACCCAACCCTCCCCCTTCATCGCATCGGGCCCCTAATTTGATCGTCGGCCTGTGTGCTGCCGAGGCTTTACGCAGGGAAAAGCCCGCTAGATATATCTATCCCCGTCGGCTTCTCCTCGGCCTTTCCGCCACACATTCCCCCCATCCCTTTCCTTGGCCACATTGAATGGCCACATAAAAGCTGGGACCGGGGGGGGGGGCTGAGACGAGGGGTTAAACAACGAATTGATGTCCCCGTTTGACTGGTTAACGGATGGCGGTGAGCAGCAAGAGTTTGGGGAATTAGGGGGGGGGGGCTTAAAGGGAGTGTGACATCAAGATTTTGAAATCGCCGTCTGATCCTGTGATGCCGTCCCAATCCCTTTAAACGACCGGCGAAACGAGCAACGACATCTTCATGGGACAGGGCAAGCTACACAACACGCCAAAATACGTATAGCATTGCAGGCGGGCCGTGAGCACGAGTTTTGAGGGGCTTAGGTGGTGTTAAAGGAAAGTGACAGTCAGACTCAGCTCCTGCTCACTATGTTGACAGCCCTGATTCAAATGAATGAGAGGATTGACCGGATGTCGTCGGCTACACTACACGCCAAAACACGCAAGCTACATGAAATGAGGTTAAGGCCCGGGTGCCACTTCCTAAAATTCGGCTTACGTGTCCTTGGAGCAAGTCATAGTTGTTCATATGAACAGTCAAAAAACAATGCCGGATAGGACCGCGTCTAGCGCTTTTTAGCATCCTAAGCCAACCTATTTAACGTTAGGCTTTTAAGCTTAGGCTCAGGCTTCTGAAAGTCGGCAAACTTTAGAATGGTGCTTAGGCTTAGGATTAGGCTTCGTGCTCAAGCTTAAGCTTCTTATCATTTATCTCCCAATTTCAAAAACTTTAGATTCCAAAAAAATTATCTATCACAATCTCAAGAGCTTAGACTTCAAACAAACGAGAATTTTTTGTTTTGAAAACAGAGAGCCCATTAACGATTCGTGAAGTGAAAGGGAAAGGAGAAAATAAGCGTACTTCTATCGACGAGCTCGAAAATGCTTCGAAGAGCGCAACAAATTTTCCCAGGAGCCCCATAAGCTACAACAATTAGGACATGTGAAATTTCTCAAAACTCCCCCGCCAATTTCAGAAGGCAAATTTCGACGAGTCTGCGCCCAGAAATAGCAGCTCTAACGCGCTATAATTAGGCTGGCGGTGTGTTCGCTGAAATGCGGGAATTCCGAGGTGGAGGAGAGGTATTCCAGGCAGGGGAAATCCGGCAAATTGCCGTCTCTTTCGGTTGGTCATTTGACTCGGAGAAGAGATTAGGGCCGCACACCCTCAATTTAGATCCGCCTGAAAAGGGGAAGGGAAATGGGGGGGGGGCTATTTTGCTAGAGCCGAGACACAAAAAGTGCGGGTGGATTTGAAAAAAACTATGAATTTTTTTGACGGATTTAATAACCAAAAGACGGTCTCTAGTGGGAATGCCGACAGTGAAGATTCCGGCCACCAGGAGGTGTCGAAATTTGAAAGCCCAAATACCCTGCTTCAGAAAGTACGGACAATCCGTAACGCGGATCACCACATGCTGCCAAGCAGAAATGCGAATAACCAAGATGCCGACAAGTCGAAATCCGGGTCTGCAAAATGCCGACAAGTGAATAGGAGATGGCAAAAACAGACAACGACGACAGACGGGCAGGAACTGACGGCAAGCCGATAAGCGATTAGCCGAAATGCCGACAAGCAAGCGGAATTCTGGTTTCGGAAATGTCGGGATTTCGGCGGTCGGTTTTTTTTCAGTCACTCACCAGCGAAGTTCATAGCTAAACCTCCCGCCGGAACTTTCGAAAAAAAAAATGGGTTTGAAAAGCTGAAGGAACGTCTCAAGCCGGCTGCCAGTCATTATTTCGAAAATCATTACTTCGAAAATCATTACTTCGAAAGTCATTACTTCGAAAAGTCATTACTTCGAAAGTCATTACTTCGAAAAGTCATTACTTCGAAAAGTCATTTCTTCGAAAAGTCATTACTTCGAAAAGTCATTACTTCGAAAAGTCATTTCTTTGAAAAGTCATTACTTCGAAACGTCATTACTTCGAAAAACATGCATAGCACGTACGCTAATTGACACCTTTCTGCCTCTATTGGTCCGTTTATTCGATCGAGTTTTTTTACACGTCGCATGAAAAAAATCGGCAAATTTTTACTTTACCCCCAGATTTTTCGATGTTTTAGTTGGTTAGTACGAACATTTTCTGATGTCACTTCAGAGAGCATCAAAACATACACGGACATTTTAGGTAAACATCGTGATGCTTCAGTGATTGACTGCAAGGATCATTAGAACAAAACAATAATTCGTAGAGATGGGGTAACTAACACTCCTAATACAGACCGAAACTCTACACAGTAATAGCCTTAATAGAATAGGCATATGGTACCTACGCAATGGTTTTATCGTCAGTGTCATGAATTTCGTGATATGAACATTCCAAATTAGCATATTTTTCGAAGTAATGACGTTTCGAAGTAATGGCTTTTCGAAGAAATGACTTTTCGAAGTAATGACTTTTCGAAGAAATGGTTTTTCGAAGAAATGACTTTTCGAAGTAATGACTTTCGAAGAAATGACTTTTCGAAGTAATGACTTTTCGAAGTAATGACTTTCGAAGTAATGATTTTCGAAGTAATGACGTTTCGAAGTAATGACGTTCACCCTCTCAAGCCCTTGAACTTTCTTGCCTCAACTCGTCACGCATGTTATTAGCACTTCAAGCGGAGTTTCACGGTCTTTTCGAAGGGGAGAAGGCGCCCGGAGCTTCTCTAGCTCTTCTTTAAAATTTCCCAGCGCGCAATCCTATGACGTAATTTTTCAAAATTTAGTTTTCAAAAAGGACTTTTGAAGCGTGGCACCCTAATCTCCATGAAAAGACCGATTAACTCCACTTTTCGTTGATTTTTAAAATATCATTATTTAAATGGTTTTAAAATTTAAGTCCACTAACCAAACCAACTCATCTTCCGCGAGCAATTCTGTTTGTTTGGGGATTAGGCTTAGGCTTAGGGTTAGGCATTCCAACTCCAGAACACCTCAACCCCCAAGGAACTACCTGCCAAAGCCCCCTAGAAACCAATCCCAAAAAGTGATCCAAACCCGCGGGTTCGATTTAATGAAGCACCTCCTCCGCGCCCAAGTTTACCATCGCCGGGCCCGCCGAATAATTTATGGTATCCAAGTGGCGTGGCCCACGCCACCCATTGGCCCCTGAATGAAAATTGCGGGCCCAAATTGGAAAGTAATAAATCTCCCGTTTCCGCGAGCACACACACATAGAAAGAAGGGGCCAGAAAGGGGCGCGAGACCCTGCTGGGCCTCGAATAAAAGGGGGTCGAATGGGGGCCCCTGGCGGGTTCCGCGAATTGATGCGATGGAAATGAGAGGCAATTCCAGGGGTGCCGGAGGAGAGGTGAAAAAATGGGCTAACCGCTAAAAAATTGGCTTCCGGAGGCGTAGGTCTTGGAGTGCGGTAGTCTGGGATGGGTTAAATGATGCTAAATTGTAGGCAAATTGCCCAGAATTACAACAAAATAATTTTTGCAATCGGAATACTGGATTTATAACCCAAAATCAAACGAAAAAATGGATTTCCGTACCTCTATGCATATCTACTCTCGATGCTACGCTCTTTATCACGCTCTCTCTCTAACTCTCTCTCTCTCTCTCTCTCTCTCTCACTCTCTCTTTCTCTCTCGCTTCTCTCACTCTCTCTCTCTCTTTCTCACTGTCACTGATATCACCGACCTCCTTCTATCGCCCTGAAAGTTTTTAACACGCGCTACTTTTCCGGATCTGTCAAAGCCAGAAATATTTCCGTTTTCATTCCCGAGATGGAGATACATTTATTAAATACTTAAATTAATCAATGTGCTTCTTCGAAATTCTGGCGGATAAAATCAAGAATCTTCGGCCAAATTCGCCGCTGTTCACATCCGGACACGTACGGGTCACCGCCAAACAGCAGGAATTTGCCTAAATCAAGGGAATTTCAAAAATTTACGCTAATATATTTGATTATATTAATATCCAACAGTTATTATAATAATTCAAAGTGAGCCTTGAGCTAATATATTGCGGAATATCCATCGTGTCAATTTTGAAAAATCGTCACAAAGACTGACTGCCGGCCCGGCCTTGCCTCACATTGTTCATTCCTGGCAGCCCGGGATCCGCCTACCCGATAAGAGACCACCCACCGCGCCCTCTCCCATCCTCCCATGTGGTCTAGTGGTTAGGATTCGTGGTTTTCACCCACGCGGCCCGGGTTCGATTCCCGGCATGGGAAGCGCTTTTTGCTTTTTGAGGATTCGACAGCTTAGCTATCCCTTTAGCCTATTTGCTACTGTTTAAAGCAGTGGCGACTTACCGGCCACGTAGGTAACGTCGCAAATCGGCATAAACGGAACATCCAGCATGTGGCAGCCCTTTTTGGCGGTGTCATGGCTGCAACCTTGGTTTATGATTTTTGAGATCCCGTACCTAAATTGCGCTTCCTTCTTGGCCTTCTTCATCCGCTCCTCCATCCAATTCAATTGCTGCACAGCCGGGATGGCTTTGTCCCATTCGCTGGCCTAACAAAAGGCAGAAAGTCTAGGCGCTATAAAGTGGAATCTACAATGTAGAGCAAATTCTGATGTGTCTTCAGCTTCTCGATAGGGATCTGGTGCTTTTCCTCGGCTTTGCAGGCACCATACATTTTTGCGTAGGAAACGCAGCCGTTTTCGATCTCGACCTGGCTCATGGCAGTGGGTGTAAGCCTGAAAAAATGACTGGAAAACTGAAAAATGTTGGGACGTGAAAACGTCTGAATTTAAAAATTCCGAAACTATTTCTGGAATCCTCATTGAATTTTGACCTTCTTTTGCCCGAATAAATTTCGGGTTTACTCAAATAGTTTACGTTTTTTTTCGCAACGAAATCAATTTTCTGTCACTCCTAGGCAGTAACCCTTCCGTTTTTCGACCAGTACGTTCAATCCCCGCACGCACGAATTTTGATTTCCGAGCCCCTTCAGTTTTTTATGTTTTACGTTTTTATGAAAAGTTGCTACGGTATATTTGCAGCGTGGTGGGTTTGCGTTAGTCAAGTTAAAGGATCCTGGCCTTCATAAAACATTTAAAAACTCACTGCACCCAGGGTAATTTCTTGCCATTTTCCCTGATTTGTGAAACGAAGTAATAACCTCCTTGGCCGTTGATGCTGACGGCAGCTTTTACCTGGAGCAAAATCGGTTTTAATGGGTCAAAAATCGTCAAGTTAATTTTCTGGCACCATCCAAACAATTAAAACGAGCTGGGATTGTACAAATTCGAGTGTCGATACCTTTTCGGATCTGGTCGCAGCATGATAAGACCAAGTACCACCTAGCGAGGTGCCGATCAACACGACTTGATCGGTGGTTTGAGGTAGGCTGGTGATGTAGTCGATAGCGGCCTGTAAAAAGGGTTAAGAGCCGATCTTTTCGGTAACATCAGTATTTTAAAGGAATTGAGAAGGCGAGAATCGACCGACCTTATTACTAAGGCCTCGAAAGCGGCAAATTACTACAAGATACGCCTAAAAACCCGTAATTTTGCGCAACCTTGACGGGAAAGGGGTTTGTTAATACAAGAATTACGGGGGTTTGTCGATACCTTGTGACATGCAGAGGTGGATTTTAGTTAGCACTAGCCCCTTTAAAGGGCTAGTTCAACTTTTAGAGCTTGGGCTGGTACCTTGGGAAACTATGGACGTAGCTATACCGCGCATGAACAGTCCCTTATTACGACAGCTATTAGATAGCGGGGAAATGAGAAAGGCGCAGACACAAGAGCGCAGAGAGGGTTCGACTCCTGGCCGCGGAAAAATACTTTTTTTTACTTTATTGGCTGAACTAGCCGTTTAACACGTCCATGCCGACCCCTCCGATACCTACCAAAATATACTCCGTCTCCACCGTCTCGTGCGTCGTCGGCAGTTTTTCACTTTTTCCATACAATGCTAAGGAGAGCACGTAATATCCTTGTTCGGCCAGAAATGCTGCTCGATGCTCTTTTTGCCCTCCAACCCCAGATAGGTCCAAGATGGCGCGGAGTTTGGAGTCTGGAATTGGTTGTGTAAGGTATGTTAAGGTACTGACAAGGAGATGGTCTCAACTGGGAATCGAATTCGGATTTGAAAATTTGCACACTTATAGAGCTCGACGAGACAAATCGATTGGTGTAACTTTCAGCTGCTGATACAATAACCACGCCGAGTTATAAGCATTTTAAGTTTTTGCATACATTTTGCAATTTTTCGGCCATAGCTTCATAGGCCTTCCCCGCCTCCCCCTCACCATGGTCTGGTGGCCTAGTGGTGTAGTAGGCGGCCTCCGGGGAATCTAACGAGGGTTCGAACCCGCTCACGATTTTTATTTTTTGCTTTTTGTCCGATGGTTCCTCTTTGCTTTCTGAAGACCTTGAATAGCTTTTTACGCATTATACGATTCCCAGTTGAGACCATCTCCTTGTGAGGTTTGAACACCTTATAAACTACGGTAATTTTACCACTTACCATGTTCTTTTGGGTAGAAAACAGTCCCCACCAGCTTCTCGTGCTCCAATTCTTCCCTAACCACGGATCCCGCTTTGACAACACGCTCAATTTCTACCTCAGCACGAGCTAGAGGCTCTTCCCTAAAAGATACCCTCCAAAATGCCATAGATTTCATTACATAAAATGGACAGAGATCTTGTAGGTCAAGCTGTCCGGCACGGGAGTGAGGTTCAATTTTGAGCCAAAACGTTCTCGAGGATCTTGATAGAGAGCGGTGAATAGCCCCATTTTATCGGCGCCTAAAATTCAATGATAGAGCTATCTAAAAGCCTGCTTAAAACTACCTTTATAAAACCCAAAGAGCGGGGCTTGTTTTGCCAGATCGATCTCCCCAGTTTCCCCCGTGATAAAGAAGGCATTGGCGATGAATTTCGTCTTGTGGACGAGGCTGGAATTTTATTGCTGTGTTCTTAAAAGAAGCGAGAAAATGCCTAAATATAAATTTTAATTCGCCTTACGTTAATTCAACCCTGTACATGTTCATCGGCTGCAACCCCGACACTCGAAACTCATCCAGCTCCGCCAAAAACGACGAGCGAGCCGGTGCAACGTGAATTTTTGGCTCCATCTTAATACATTTGAAAATAATAAATGCTCATGATAATTTTTATAGCGTTCCAGTTTATCAAAAGTTGAGAGAGAGCTTGAAATTCCTCTAGAAAAACGAATAACGTATGATCGGGTTGATTTTCTGTAAATCATTGCGGACATGATTGCACAGTGTTGGCATGTGGATAGTACTGACTCGGAAGTTTAGCTCAGCCAATCTTTAGTGGCAAATTTTGCTTCTTCAGGCCTTTAAAACGACTATGAAACAAAATTAGACCTATTTTGGTCTTTTATAATTCGGTTTATCGACATAAAGGTATCGACGAGATGACCTAATAAAAGCGAATTAGTGACCTAAAGCCCAGAAAATTAGCCAAATCCGGAATAGTAACTCCGTTTTCTAAACAGAAACCGGATGGCCGCGTGCAGCTCCGTATTCTCCATATCACCTAAAAAGACCATAAAGATTACGGCCCGCCGGTGGCTGTAAAATAGTTGTAAATTTCACAGCTTCTTCTCCTTTCTTTAGGTTCTCTTTCTCTAGAGAGAAAAATAGCGTATATTTTTTAGGTTTTTTAGGATTTTGGGTATATTTTGTTGTCCAGCCCACATTCCTGTACCCCCTGCCCGAAATTACCCATAACCCGAGTGGAAAACCCGAAAAAGTTGGGCGAGCAAAATGACATGCAAAACCCGCGGCGTGCCCTTCGATTTTTGGCACGGTCAATTTGGCGTCTGAAAAATGATGCCATACCTGATTTTATTCTCTAACTTAATTCTAGCTGTTTTGCCGCAATGTAGAAATGGTAAATTTGTATTTAAAAACCGAAAAACAAACCTATTTTTAAGAACCCTATTTTTGCGCATATGGCCAGACCTATGTGCAGGCAAATACCAAGGATTGCAGGTACCAGAAATATGCAGATTTTGTAGCATTTTTCTAGTCGATTTGTGCGTTGCATCAGAGGGTCGGCAAATTATCAGCAGTGCAAGAAAAAATATGTTTTTGATTATTGTATGCAGGTAAGGGAGAGAACAACAGAGAAAGAGTGAGAGAAGGAGCCTGAGAGAGAGAGAGAAAGGTGAGAGAGCGAGCGAGAGAGAGAGAGAAATACGATGTTTCAGTCTTTCCAACTTGCAGAAATGTGTCCCAGTAATGAATGCCTGTGATGCGGAGCAGGAGTGTTTTTGCGTCCAAAACCCAAAATGTGTGATACAGCACAGAAAAGTTTCTGACCCGAATCAGGTACGATGGAAACGAGTTTTTGGGTGTTTTAGAACCTGACAGCGACCTTTCGTTTTAGACCGAATCCGATTTCTCGAAAAACGGCATTCCTGAATGGAAAGGGCTTCCACCCAGAGATCCCAGTTATGAATCCAGTCAAGGCTACGATTCCGGTATAAGTTTTCCGAGGAATCCCTCCGGATACGGCAATGGAGGTCGAAAAAGTAAGTAAATTTTTCTGATTTGATGAGCTACGCATATTGCGTAATGGTCCTATGTATGAGTAGGGGCTTTTAATTTTTTTAGACCTTTAAAGGGATAGGGGCGGCATAAGTCAATCGATTACGCGAGGGAAAGAAAATGTCTCTGCGCCTCTCCCCTGGGCGCCCTCTCTCGCCGCGGGAACCCCCCTTCCCCAAGGGGGGTTCAACAGATGCCGTCCTCATCTCTTTAAAGACTGCTAGAACCCTTGAACGCACACTGTCACCCCAAGGGTGCGTCCCCCAAGAACGCGCAGAGAGAGGCGTCATTAGTCGCGCCCCGTACTGGGCAAAGGCCCTCTGGGGTTAGGGGCGTTCAGGGAGGGGCCGTGTGCTCGTCCCAACGTATACACCCTATGGGCGCCGGGACCGCGCGCACTGCCGGCCCGTGCTGTGACAGGCCATTCCCCTCCTTTGCGGCGTGGGGCGCCCCTCACCCCCTCCCCAGGTTGCACTCGTAGCTGACTGGTATATGCGACCGCGCCTTCCTGTCGAGAGGCCCGGGTTCGACCCCCGGCTGCGGGAAAAATCTTTGCTTTTTTCGAAAAAAAATGTCCCTGAACGTGCCCTTTAAAGTTCAACTGGTTCGTTCAGCTACTCCCTCGTGTGCTTTCAGAGCGTCAAATCGGAATGCCCGGCCAAAACCAACAATCCATCGGATTCGGCTTGAACTTTCTGGGCCAGCCGAATGGATGGCAGCTGAATGCTCAGGTTTTCGCAGAGCCCTTCAGTACACCTAGTATCATCTCCTTCAGATGAATTACCCAGCCTTCCCACCCGGCCAAACACAGCCGTGGTACAATTTTGTCTATTACCCACAGTCTGCATACAATTTTGTGAGGGACGGTCAGCCGACGAATGTTTGGTGGCCGTTTTTGCTACAAACTACAACGGATACCCAGTCGAGTTATGATCAGAATGCTGGTCAGTTTGATCGTCGACTTGAATTTTTAAAGTTGTAATAGTAGGTTTTTATTTCTAAAAAGTTGGTTTTTCTTATTCGAAGTTATATGATTGATTTTTAGGGCTACAAAACTAATTGGAATAGAATATTTGTTTAGTGTCGGTGTCTCAATGCGTTCCGTACAATCCTAACGACACCACTGACTCGCCGGGGTCGTCGTATTCTACTGCTTCGACGACGACTTCAAGCAGTTCAACAACCACCACTACTACTACTATTACCACTACAACAACAGAAAATGCTTCGTAAAGGAATAAATTTTGTTACGGAATTTTTTATACCTGGCAGGTTCCTTCATTTTTTGCAGAAAATCTCATAAATATTTATGAGCATGACCAGCATGGATTTAACACAGTCCGAAAAATCCTCGAGACAGCGATCTTTGGCCTATCTATCCCCGGGTTTTTCTGACTATCCTCACTCTATCTCTCTCCCTCGAATTCTCTTGTCTCTAGCTCTCTCTCTCTCTCTCTCCCTCTATCTCTATATTTCCCTCCATCTCTCTCGCTTTCTCGGCCATCCTTTATCGAAGACTCTATTGACACCGCCTGAGGTTTCAGAATATCTGGATATGAGGTCAGAACGGGATATTGCAGACTGCGGATCCCTAGGCTAGTCAGGCTCACAAACTGGCTCTCCCCCACACACATCCCACCACACCGCCTGCCCCCGGATGAAAGAACCACCCGGCCGTCGAATGGAGCAGCCCATGTGCTTTTTGAAAAGTCTGCTGGGTGGATCCATTATCGGTTTCAACCCGGTTTGTTAATTTCTTGGATGGGTGCCGAGTTTTTTTAAGCTCGATAGGGGTCAGTTCCTAAAAGATCTCTGCTAGCTTGCCAGGAGTTTGGCCTGTTAAGCCTGAAATCAATCCCAAAACCCATTTATGCAGTAACTCTTTTATTCTGCCTTTTAGAACTCTTTTCCCCCCAAGAACCTTTGCGGGTTTGCCTAGCCTCACCATCAGCTTAACAACGAACTTAAAACCTTTAAGATTTTTTCTATACTTTTAAGTGTCATTTCTAGGCGGCTAAGATTAACTTTCATATTCAGGCAAGTTTTTTGAAGTCGTTTCTTTCAAAGTCGTTTTTCATTTCTACCCGATCTTCCGTTACGATACGATTATTTTGGCTAGCTCTACGGGCGGATTAGCACCTATTTATTTTGTTTTGTTTAGCATATCTCTCCCTCTCTCCAACCACATTGACTCATCTTTTGATCCCACCAAAGCCCCGGCGGCCATTCCCGTTCCAAAACTGGGTCATTTCACAGAGCCGCCTCCGTTCTCTTGCTCGTGCTCTACCCGCTGTGCCTATCGTTTTCTCTTTTACTCCCTGCCTTTTACTTTCCCCCATTCACATGCTCCTACTTTCCGGTCAAAAGCTCCGCATGTTATAACTTTCCCGGCTAAAAACGGCTTTTTTTTGCCACAAAATACTCGAAAACTTAACTTTTAAAACGAGTCGAATCGATTTCCACCGCTTGTTTTACGGATTTAAGGCCGAAATTGGATTTTTTAGAGATTTTTATGGATATTTTAATAAATCCTGGTGATCCAAAACTTTGATAAATTTTAGAAGGATTTTCTCAAGATCGAATATCACTATTTTGATTTATCAAGACTGCAAAGTCATATTCGTCTCACACCTGAATCGACCTTAAAGGGATGCCGACGGCATAGACAATCGGTTACGCGCGGAAAAAAATGTCTCTGCGCCTCTCCCCTGGCGCGCTCTCTCCTCTGCTGGCTACTTGCCAATTTGTTGATGAGGGGGGGGGGATCGACACATGCCGTCGGCAGCCCTTTAAAGAATCCGGTTTGCCAAATTTGACGTTTCCGGAAACACCCAGTGAAATACGAAAATGACCTTGAAACTCCCCACCACCCCGGTGGACATCACAAAATTGGCCTGAATTCCCTGGTCTCGGTTGACTCATCGCGGGAACAAAAACATTTCCCTCCTGCGGCTGCACCGTTTGACGTATTTGCTGCTTTTCCCAGGCATTCTTTGCTTTGGAATTTCATTTCATTTTTGTCGTGATTAGGGTTTTTCCGGTTGTGAAGTTTTTAACTTGATTTTTAACGTTTTTAAACTTATTTTTAGATGTCACGGGTAAAAGAGAAACCGGTCGAGGCGGTGGCAGCGAAAGAGCCAGAATATAAATGTAGTATATTTGGGTAAGGTTTCATGATGAAGAAGAAAAGAGAGAGCGAGAGAGAGAGAGCGAGGGAAAGCGAGAGAATGAGAGAGAAACAAGCTTCTGTTTATATCTTTTTAAGAAAGCCTTTTCAGATACTCCCCACCATGGCTACACAAATTCGCTGTTTTTCCTGTTTTTATGACAATCGTCTGTATGAATGCCCTCGTACAAGGAATGCTCGTTAACGGATTTATCTCCATTTCGATACAATCTTTGGAAAGAAGGTATGCCTTTATAATTAGTATATTTCTATCTATCATTACTTTCATTACAATTATCATTACAAATTTTGGCCATATTTAATATATAAATATACCTGCTCTTTCAATCAACGTGTTTTTTTAGATTTTCCCTCTCCTCAAAGCAATCCAGTATATTTGCTGGAAGCTACGATGTAGCCGTGGGTTTGACGTTGTTGCCACTTTCGTGGTTTGCTAATAAAGGTATAAAAGCAATTTTTATCCAAATTCGGTCGATATTTCAGTTAACAAAGTTCGAACGATGGGCTGGGGAATGATGCTGGTTGGCTTCGGCACTTTGCTCCTGGTAATCCCACAATTTACCAGTGGCATCTATCGACCTGGGAGCAAAACGTAACGTATCAAAATTTTTATAGTTTTCGTGCCTTTCTATGTAATTTGAAGTTTATATAACTGTCTTTAAGTGGCGAAACCTGTGGAGCGCTGGCCGACCCAAAAGCTGTTTGCCCACCAGAGGAGAGCCAAGACTTGTGAGTTACTGAGTAGATTTTTGAGCTTGACGTAGAAAGCTGGTAAATATTTAGGTATTTAGCGTCTGATTAATGCGTTATACACGTTAAGTTTAGTGCCTTTCCTCTATTATTGATCGGCCAGCTCTTGATCGGCTTTGGTGCAAGCCCACTTTTTACCTACGGATACTCGACAATCGACGAATTTGACTCAACGACGAGAACTGGAGTTAATATGGGTAACCGATACCTATATCACGGCTTAAGCGCTACGTTTTTAGCGTATTACCTCGGTGTCTGTACCCTCGGGCCGGCTATGGCCTTCCCGATCGGCTCGCAACTTTTGAAGATCTGGGGCGATGTCGGGAGGACGAAGAGTACGGAGTAAGCAATTGGCTATCGCTCCTGTCTCTCTCTCTCTCTCTCTCTCTCTCTCTCCCTCAAGATCCTCTTTATAGTTTCGGTATTGACGACTCCTCAGACCCAAGGTGGTACGGCGCTTGGTGGATAACATTTGCAGTGCTGGGAGTTTTGAGCTTTTTCACGGCAATTCCACTGACGTTCTTCCCGAAAAAACTTAATGGTGAGACATTTATGATGCCAGAGAAAGTGAAAATTCCAGATACCGACAGACGGAAGGCCAACGACAAGCTACAACCTCACGCTGACCTCAACGTCGATTTGTCTGGGGACAAGTGGGAGCTGTTGAGGATGTTTAAGGTATGTCAAAAGAGTGAATCGTTTTTAATGGATAGCGAAGCGTCAAAATCGACGCCTACTATTATTAGATATCGACACTTGGGACTAGCTGACCAAACGTGAATTTGTTTTGTGAATTCTGAGCATAGGCTGCTAAAAATCATTCTTTTTGACGTACTGTAACTGGCTAACGTAGGTACATATCTGTCGATGGCTAGTTAAGAACGATGTCGATTCTAGGATCTACCAGCCTCTTTAGACTCGGGCAACCTGTAAACTATCGTTTTCCATTTCCAGCTCTTCACCCTCAACCCAACCTGTATGTGCATCATTGCCATGCAAACGATGGAATCGCTGTTAATGAACGGCTATATCACATACATCCCAAAATTGCTCGAAAATCTATTTGGCCTCACATCTGGAGGTTCTTCCATGGCTACAGGTAGGTAAAAACTACAACGACTTCCTGAATTCACGTGTTTAGGTCTTATCATTGTCCCAATGGGTGTGATCGGCAATTACCTGGGCGGTAAAATTGGTGAGCGGGTGAAGAATAAAGTGCCGTAAGTGGATAAACCCTAAAAGAAGAGGATGATATCTTTAGTGGATTGCTAAAATGGTGCCTCATTTTCATGCTGTTGAATGTGTTATGCTCGGCTTCACTATTGTTGAGCTGCCCGAAAAAGGAGATTGCCGGGCTGAATACGCCGTAAGTTTGAGAGAGAGAGAGAGAGAGAGAGAGAGAGAGTGAGAATGAAACAGAACCCGACAATAGGCAAATTTTTATTCCCTTTTTAGCTACAAATCCGGCGAAAGACTTTGGACCGAAGCCAACGAAGGCTTTAACAAAGCTGAGGGCATCTGCAATGGCCCGAGCGGCGAAAACTGCCAATGCAGCCGCATGATGTTCAACCCGGTGTGCCACGAAAAGAGCCAGATCACCTACCTATCCCCCTGTCATGCTGGTTGCCACCAAGAAGCGAAACTCGGATTTAATGGAACTGTACATTGTGGCTTTATGGAATATTTATTTTTCTTTAGAAGAAGCTGTTCTGGTCCGGATGCTCGTGCTCTGCTCAACATGAAAAGGCCGCTACGCTGGATGTTGTGACGAAAGGGTGGTGTGATAGCGATTGCAACCTGACCATGGTAGGCAGGCAGAGCAAAAAAAAAAATCGGAATTTTACGTCTCGAATCCAAAATTGAAATTTTTGCGCGTCGCTAGGGTTTTCAGCAGTAGATTTCGAAGTTCCAGCGGTAGCAGCTAAGGTTTAGCTTACCACTAAATTACTAAAATGCACGGTCGTACTTCTCGTAATCCTGAAATTCCAGTACACCTTCTTCGCCCTGTTCGCCCTGATGGCGTTGTTCACCTTTTGCCAGCGGTCCGTTGATCCAGAGCGCGGCGCTAAAGTGGGTATCGCTTCCTCTCTCTCTATCTTTCTCTCTCTCTCTCTCTCTCTCAATTCTCTCGCTCTCTCTCCATCTCTCTCACGCTCACTCACACTCTCTCTGTCGCTCTGTCTCTATCTATCACTCTCTATTGGATTTTTTCTTCTTGCTCGCATGCTCATTCTTGTCCTCACAAAAAACCATACGCTTCCAGAGTCGTCTCTTTCTCTCATCGCGATGCCTTCATTTGTTATGGGTGGATGTGGATGCGATTTTGCGGTACGTCAGCTAGATCTAGATAGCAGCTAAAGTATGGATTTAGGCTCTGTTCCTGGTGTCTATCTCTTTGGAGCGACAATCGATAAGACCTGCCTCTACTGGAAGGCCAGCTGCAGCGATTTGAGTCGGGATTCTGAGGGCAGCTGTGCCGTGTATGACGTTGAGAAGCTACGGATGTATCTGTTTGCGTTAAGTGAGTTACTAAAACCATTTGGACGGGGTCGAAATTACCAGGCCTTACCCTTGAAATCAACTCTAAACCTTCGAAATCCTGTGATTTTCAGCAATCATCGTGAAAGTTGGATGCGCTCTGGCTGTGGCCGTCGGAAGATACTGCTTCAAGGCAGAGCCAGACGAGCAGAAGGAGAAAAAGGTATCGAAACTTATTTGCTCAAATTGGTATGCACCTTTTCTAGCCCCTAGAACTGTCCAGCAACCATCGCGTGGCTCCAGAAGATTCCTAAACATCGATCGACCAGAAAAACCAGAAAAATTCAAAGAATTTCCAAAAACCACTTCACGAATACGGGTGTCCGCTGTGTGTAATAAATATTTGACGCGACTTTGCATAGTATTATGAATTGGCATCGAAAATTTAAATTGCTGAATTCGCCTAGAAATTTGCATGGGAACAGAGGAAATCAGCAGCTCTTTCGTTCCTTTTTTTTATTTCCTCCGCTCCACCCACTTGGTCGGTTTTTTGGATAATTTCTATAGGCAAATTTCTAATTAAATTTTTCGTATGCAAATCAGGAATTCTATTCAGGAATGGGCAAATCCGATCCGAGCCCGAAGAATTCTGAAGCGCCCCAGGCCGATTCGGAGCCGCGAATCGAGACTAGATGCAGTTTCTTTGGGTAATCAAAAGTCCGGAGGGGTACCTTACGTCGATAGGTTTCACCCGGAATGGCTGCAGAAGTTCTGCGTGTTCCCCGTCTTCCTGACGATCGTCTGCGCGAACGCCTTCGTGCAGGGGATGGTCGTCAACGGGTTCACGTCGATCTCGATTCAATCTCTGGAGCGTCGGTAGGGGAGAGAGAGATAGAGAAAGGGATAGAGAGAGGGAGAGAGCGAGAGAGCGAGAGGCGGCTCCAATTCGCTTCTTTAGCTTCGCCCTGACCTCCACCGAGTCGAGCATCTTTGCCGGCAGCTACGATGTGGCCGTCGGGCTTACGCTGATCCCGATAGCGTTCGTCGCGAATAAAGGTACCGCTTCAAGACGTCGGCGTCGTTTGGGATCACAAAACACGTCAGATTCCGTTTTTCCAGTGAACAAGGTGCGCACGATGGGCTGGGGGATGGTGCTCGCCTCGCTGGGCGTCTTCCTCGTCGTCATCCCGCAATTCTGGAGCGGCTACTACGAGCCGGGCAGCCCGGAAGGTGACACCTGTGTGGCGAGCCGCGAGCGCGTCTGCACGGAGAAGCGCACCGAAGATTTGTAAGAGTTTTATCGGGAGTGAGAGCAAGAGAGAGAGAGAGAGAGAGAGAGAGAGAGAGAGAGAGGAGAGAGAGAGGGAGAGCGAGAGAGAGCAGAAACCTTCGTGGATTTAAGACATACTTTCAGCGCCTTCCCGTTGTTGGTGCTCGGGCAGCTGCTGATCGGTTTCGGTGCCAGCCCGTTGTTCACGTTCGGCTACTCGACAATCGACGAGTTCGACTCGAATCAACGGACCGGCAGGAACATGGGTAGTTTTTCGGTCGCTCTCTCTCTCTCTCTCTCTCTCTCTCTCTCTCTCTCTAATCTCCCCCTTCCAGCCCTCTACCTCGGCGCGTGTACCCTTGGCCCCGCCATGGCCTTCCCGATCGGCACGGCGCTTCTGAAGACCTGGGGTGACATCGGGATCACCGAGCCGAATCAGTACAGAGATTTGGTTTCAATGTAGATGAGCATTCTGCAGCTGGGGGATCACGAGCGACGAGGATCCGAGGTGGTACGGTGCGTGGTGGGTCGGATGGCTGATGTCTGGGTTCATCTTCCTCATCACCGGCATCCCGTTGACGATGTTCCCGAAGAAGCTGCGAGGTAGAGCGAGAGAGAGAGAGAGAGAGAGCGAGAGAGAAAGAGAGACGTTTTTGCTTTAGACACCGATAATCGCAAAGCCAAAGACGAGCTCCAGCCGCACGCCGATCTGATGGTCGACCTGTCCAACGACAAGTGGGAGCTGTTCAAGCTTTTCAAGGTGAGGGCCCGTACTTTTTGAAGTCGCGGTCTTTAGCTGTTCTCCACGAACCCGACGTGCATGTGCATCATCGTGTTCCAAACGCTCGAGTCGTTGCTGATGAACGGGTTCATCACCTACGTGCCGAAGTTGCTCGAGAACCTGTTCAGCATCACGGCCGGGCTAGCGGCGTTGACTACAGGTTGGTTTAGAGTTTGTTCGGATCTTCTGGATTTCAGGAGTGATCGTGATTCCCATGGGGCTGATCGGGAATTTGTTGGGCGGAAAGCTGGGCGATATGGAGAAAAATCGAGTCCCGTGGGTGTTTAGGAAAACGAGAGAGAGAGAGAGAGAGAGAGAGAGAGAGAGAGAGAGAGATAGTCACACTCCCTAAATCCTACTTTTAGTGGCCTCCTGAAGTGGTGCATCGCCTGCATGGCCATCAACACCCTATGCGCCGGATGCCTGCTCCTCCCCTGTGAAGGCACCAAGATTGCCGGCATCAACGAATAGTACGACACCTTCAAGGTGTTCACTTGCCTGTTCAGCTACCGAAACGCGACGATCATCACCGGGCTTGATGAGGACAGCGGCAACGGAATCTTCAACCGCCGCCTCGGCCCCAACCTCCAGTGCAACCGGAACTGCAGCTGCGACCGCAAGATGTTCAACCCGGTGTGCGACGAGAGCACGAAGACCTCGTATCTGTCCCCATGCCATGCGGGATGTCACGTTGAGGTTGGGGGTCAAGAGACTTCTTGATGACGATGTGATTTAGGATTTCGAAAATTCGACGTGGTCGGAGTGCGCGTGCCTGGATACGTCGGAACGGGTGCTGACGAAGGGCTGGTGTTCCGGGGAATGTCCGTGGGTCAAGGTGGGTGGATGATGGTGAGACGTGACGCGAGCAGCGACGCAAGGCTCTGCGCGACCTGCAACGCCCCCCACAGCGTGAATGGGCTCTTTCGCATCAACGGGGGGTGCATTTTGCATCGTATCCAATTTTTTAAAAGCAGGGGTGCTTCGAAACTTTTTTTACTTTTTCTGAACGTAAAAACTACAGTAATTTAAAACAAAACATACAACCAAAAAATATCGATTTATCGACCAAAATTGGTCGTTTTGTACCAAGATTTAAGTTTTTTGAAAGCGACCATAATTTTTCTGGTTTAAATATGGCTTTATTTTCCTAAGGATTTATTAAAAGAGTTCCTGTAAAGTTACTATCATTTTTTGGGGTATTAAAAATTGTTTGCCCTCCCCTCCCCGATAATGCAAAAGAACCGTAAACGATGGCGCGTTGACCTAAACCTGCAAGATATCCATCTGTTTCCAGTACGCCTTCTTCGTCCTGTTCGCCGTGATGGCGCTGTTCACCTTCGCCACCGGACCCTTGATACAGAATGCCGCGCTAAAGTGGGGCAACTTTTAGCCTTCAGATACCGTACTTGCAGGGTGGTCGCCTTCGAGCACCGCGACGCCTACATTTGCTACAGCTGGATGTGGATGCGTTTTGCCGGTTTGGACATGAGGCTGGCTGAGGTGGTGCTCACTATTTAGGCTCGATCCCCGGCGTGTTGGCGATGGGCAAGATCATCGACACGGCGTGCGTCTACTGGAAGAGCACGTGCTTCGACGAGCAGGGTAGCTGCTCGGTGTATGACAGCAACAAGATGCGCATCTACTTGTTTGTGATGAGTGGGTCCCCGTTGATCTATCTCTCTCTCTAATGATCATCTACCTGTTTCCAGCCATCCTCGTCAAGATCCTCTGCGTGGTTGCGGCATTCTCCGGCCGCTACTTCTTCAAGCCGGGCACTGGAGACGATTCGTTGATGGGCCAAGTTTCCGTTGCCGATGCCGTCTCGCAGCTTGAAGATAAAGAGGTAACTTTGCCAACCGTAAGACACTTAAGCCAGCTTCGACCTTCAACAAAAACCCAAAAACCTTCTGTTCAGCCGGAACAACTCTCATCCAAGAAGGCGAACGACCCCAGCTCGCGCAAGTCCACCTCCCAGCAGCCTCGGACCAAAAAATCCAAGAAATCGAGCCGCAGAGAGCTCAAGTCGAACAAGACGCAGTCGACCACCCCCGACGGCAAGAAGTCGAAGCGCTCCAAGAGGTCGTCCAAGGCCTAGAGGCCGCGATGAAGCCGCTGCCTGAAGAGCCCGTGAAGCAATAAGCGTAACGACGCGATCAACCACCCGATTTTTCCCTACTCGCCTGTTGTAGTAGATGCGCCTCTATTCCCCCACACCCGACCTACTTCCGCCTAAATCATCGTTTATTCTGTGTTCTACATTCGATTGTCGAATAAATATTTTACCCCCGGGCATCAAAATGCTATGTGCAGGAGTTTGTGAATATGAAAAGAGCGATGCGATGGATCGGAATGTTGACTTCCGTGTAAACTGGTTGGGAAATCCAGGATTCGTAGGAGATGGAGGTTGTTGAATAGCCTGCGTGATGGTCGCGTGGCAGGCGAGTGGCGGCTCCTGAAAGTTCCTGCATCTTGGGCAGAATTTTCGCTGATTCCGAACCCGTTTTCCAAATTTGCTGCGGACTTTTCTTTCAAGAGTCATTTTTGGTGGAAATTACGCTTCAAAAAGGCAAAATTCGGATTCTGGCCCACTATTCACGGCTTGGTTGTAGGGTTCCGAGCTGGCCTCAAGTACGCTCTCACAGCCCGCTGCCCAGTTGGCACCATGGTGCATTGGCAAAGTGCTCGCTTGCCAAGCCCAGGGCGCCGGTTCGACACCCCGCCCTGCATCACTCCTGTTGCTTTTTGCATAAAAAAAAATCGAATTTTTATCGAAAAAGCTTGTTTTGGGGTTAAGATTTCTAGCCAATTTAGACGTTGGAGTTGATCAAGAAATTCGAAAACGATGACGGTTCCTTGATTTTGGTGAAAAACGCTACCATAATTGCTGTATAACTTTCAAAATAAAAGTCCGCAGCAAATTTGGAACTCCAGTTTGAGTAAAAACACTTTACAGTTAGGTAACGAGATAGCCAAAAGAAAGGGGGGGGGATCAAACAAAATGCGCAGATGGTACGGGTTGCGTGCGTCGCGTGCCGAGGTGCGGCAAAATCCATAGGTCCGCCTTTCCCCGACCCTTCAATGTTAGCATGGGCTCAAATTTTGATCGTGGCGATGAGACCAGTTTATCAGCCCGATCGTTTACGTGGTGGTCAATTTTTTTTTCAGCCAGTGCGCAGGGAAAGGGCTCGAAATAGCATTGACAGCCAACCCGATTTCTGTCCCCCTCGTCACAAAATACAAAAAAGGGGCTGGTACTTTGCGGTCGTCTGTAAAAGGTGCAAAAATTGGCTAGGAAAATGTTGGATTTTCACTGAAATTTGACAAAGGGTTAGCAGAACCAAGTCGCTGCTACCGAAATAACTTGGGAATCATGGTAGAGCGGCAATGGCTGCAGAAACGGGCTAAAATTCACACGAGGACGGGCGTGTTTTTTCGTGAAATGGCCATTGAAAACTTACAAGGGAACCACCCGAGGTCGAGGTGGCGTTTCGTTATAAGACCCAGCCCATTTTGTGCAGAATTTTTTGCTGATTCCGAATCCGCATTCATTTTTGCCAAATAGCTCGTTTTAAAAAGTTATAGCGCTTCAAAGTTCCATTTTTTCCCAAATTTGTCAACTTCAAAGCCATTTATTTTGCATTTCCCGGCTGATTCATCAAAAACGAATATCGCTATCGTATTCAGAAAATTTTTCTCTATCGAATGAGCTATTTAACTCAAAATTATTGGAAATCGAAAAAATCGACTTCGTTTTTTGTATGGGAAATGGTGAAAAACATGCTATTTCACACTCCCATAAGTAATCGTCGATAGGCAGTGGCGCAGTAATGATATATACCATTAGAATCAGAAAAAAATACTCTACAAGATAGGTTATTTAAAATGGATTGGCATATAAAAACAAAAAAAGTTGGGCATCGTGACATATGATCACCCGCGGGCTCAGATATGATCTTAAAATTGCCGTAACTTTTTAAATCGGGCTATTTGGCAAAAATTGAAAGCGGTTTCGGAATCAGCAAAAAATTCTGCACAAAATGGGCTGGGTCCCATAACGAAACGCCACCTCGACCTTAGGTGGTTCCCTTGTTAGGAATGGAGTTCATAACCGAGTTCAAAATATTTGGGGTATTTAAAGTAATGTACACTAACTTCAAAAAGCATTGCCGGAACTTGGGGACCCCAAAAAAGCCAGGCAGCCGATTTCAAAAAGTCTGACCCCGACACAAAATACAACATTTTTTATGCTCTCTGCCTGATCCGATGAACCATGCCACCTACCCCTTTCGATCGGAAAGTCAGAAAGAAACAACCGCTCTACACAACACACTACACCCCCTCGAGACAATTAGAGACACACGGCACCCCCGGACAGCTGATAAGCCATCCGGAGGTTTGGGTATCTAAAGACATATTGCGGGAGCTCTTGAGCAACACAGACTTCTGCCAAAACCGAAGCGTTTTGTTAATAAGAATTTTTGGCTTTATTTTTACGTTTACCCATTTCCTTTCCTTCGTAATTAATTAATTTATTTTTTGTTCCGAAGTTAAAATTATTGATCGTGTTTTCAGAAAATGGTGATCAAAGCCGTCGTGTTCGATTTTGGTGGCGTAATCATGAGCTATTCGCAGCTCCCCAAACTTTTCATGAAAATCGCCGATGATTTGGGGGTGGACCATCAGACGTTTTTGAGCAGGAAGGACAAGGCAAGCAGCTTCAAGTTTTATAGTGGCCACGGAAATTTAGCTTACAGGAATTCACATAGGCATTTCTATCCGATTTTTAAAAGTCAGCCCTATAAAAAGGTCCATGGCAAATTTTGCATCGTAAAAGGCTAAAGATTTTGTATTGGCGTATCTTTAAGCTTAATTTTTGAAAGAGTATAATTTTAAACTACTTATAGTTAATTAAAATTACTAAGCTATAGAAATACGGTATGACGGTTACATAATGTTTTTAGATCTTCCAATTCTTCGTCGGCGACCGTCGGCTAATGACGGGAAAAATTACGGCAGAGGAGTTCGAAGAAGCCGAATTCCTAGATTCGCTCAATCATGCGGTAAGTCAAGCTCAACCATCTAGTCCTCCGCTTATCCTACTATACAGGGTGGCCAGAAAAAAAAGTGCCTGGTTTGCACTGAAATATCTCGCTAGGGGAAACGAATCGGACCATCGTTACCATGCCAGAATGCTTAAATATGCTGGGTATGAAGAATAAACACAAGTTGTTTTTTATGATTTTTGACGACCCACTACTCGTTAAGAATTTTCGAACATTTTTGAAAAAATAGAAAACTTTGAAGAGGAAAATCATGGAACTTTTTATGAGTTAGGGGGACGTGTAGGGTATCAAAATGAAGCTCTTGGGGTGCGCTATCAAACGGATGATAAAAATTATCGATCGGTTTAACTAGCCGTCAATAGGAGCCTTCGGGCTGGTCAGAGGGGTGGTTGGGGGTGGTCAGAGGGGTGGTTGGGGGGTGGTTGGGGTGGTTGGGGGTGGTCAATGCATTAGCCACCCCACCCCACCCCTTACAAAATTTTTTCATGATTTGGCAATAAAAGCTTGTTCGAGTCAGATATGGTCCCTCAAAGACAATGTATCCGGAAGACCAAAAAGTTTTATTGCCTGATCATGAAAAATGTTTGTAAGGGGTGGGGTGGGGTGGCTAATGCATTGACCACCCCCCAACCACCCCCCAACCACCCCTCTGACCACCCCCCAACCACCCCCCACGACCACCCCCCAACCACCCCCAGCCCCACCCTCCAACCACCCCTAGGGGTGGTACCACCCGAGGTGGTTGGCGAAGTATAAAAAATAGTGTTTGTGTGTGTGTGTGACACTTTGCATGCAACTTCCGTCAGGGTGTCCGGAGGTTATCTCGAGAAAGGAGCAGTTTTAGGGTATGTATGATACGTCATTAGGTGCGTAATGGCTCTGAGATGGCTGCACGCTTATCAGATTTATCAAAATTGCCTTTTTTCGACATTAAATTTAGGTTTTTGCTAAAAAATTGGCGACCTTCTTTGTTAGGAAAAGATTAGCATGCGCCGGAAGTTCCGCTAGCCTATATCAAGGGGCAGAGAGCGCCATTTTCATTTTTTGTCATCGGAAATCCAAACATTATTCAAAGTTAAGTATATCGTGAGATCAGACGGGGCCAGGGTTGAAAAGTTCACTTCTTTTCAACCAGCTTTTAGAGTGAACCAGGCTTTTCAACCCTGGTTCACTCTAAAAGCCAATTTTATCCAAGACCTTATGCAAAAACACTAAAAATATAAATGCTTGCTTTCAGTTCGGGACAAACCACAAAGAACCGATCAGATGGATGCATCACTTCTGTGACCCGAACATGTTCTCCTATGTGCGTTTTTGTGCGGAAAAATTCCAACAGACGGGGCTCGTTTTAGCACAAGCCAATCCTGAACTTTATCGATGTGCTCCGGGCAAACGGCTTCAAGACGGGGCTGTTGACGAACAATTTCTATATTGACAAGGTGTGTCAGAAAGAAATGGCTTTTATTCATTTTCACAACTAATTATTGCTTTAATTTTTAAGATTATTCGTCGATGTTCAAACTGTTTCAAGGATAGCTTTGAAATAGATTATAAAAACTGGCTATAAAACCGAAATAAAAACCACGT